AGCTAGCTCTGCCTTCCTTTCCATAGCTTAATTGGGCAATCTTATGTTTCTTAGCAGAAATTTATTCAAATCAATATTTTCACTGACTAAAGTTTGAACGCAGGAAAAACAGCTTGTACATGCGGGTTTTGGACCAAACACTTCAATACAGTGACATTCACAGCTGTTGCAAGTATTTTAAGTGCAATTCATGCTAACATAAGTGCATTTTTTTAGACTTAAAAAAATATAGTAACAATAAAAGAACTTGAAATTCATGCTCTAGTCCTACAGGCATAAGCTTATGCTTTCCAGAGCTGATACAGCAAAACACTTAAAATATATACTAATATAAGACTGGTAATATGCTTAACATTAAGCTGTGATTTAGTGAAATGCTTTTAGCACTTGCTCGAGTGTATTTTGTAAGATAAGCATACTGAAGTATTAAACTCTCAACACAATTTTCCAGGACTGTGGTCAATGTTTGCCTCCAGCCATAGCATGACCTGGTTACTTATGTATTTTAAAGCTCCTGAAGAGACAAAACCTCCAGCTCTCTGCTGGTCTAATTGCACAGATAGCACTGGAGTTACAATATAGCCTTCCAGCCCCATGTATTTAAACATGTTTTGTATGTTTGCACTGGATCTATATACGATTGTTGTCACTGCAGTTGTCATGGACTCAGATCAGATAAACCTTTAAAAGTTTAGAATGTGGGTTTAGGTGGGCTTTTAAAATCAGAACCAAAACTCCAAAAAGGAAAGTTTGAGGAATAGAAATAAAAAATAATTTTTCAGATGTTCACAGAATAATTTTTTTTAAAGGAAAAATACATTTTTCTTGACAGTTTTATTTATGTGCTGTTAACCCAATAATTCATTCTTCCTTAAAATCTTAAAGAAGTAGTTGCAACAACTGTTATGTAGCAGTTGAATTTGGTAAAAAAATAAATGCAGTACTTCCAGATATGGTCTGAACATAAACAAGAAGGAAGGTATTATTTTATTTGAGGAGTGTTGTTCTGATTCACTGAATATTGTTTACAACATTAGCAAGGCTTCATCTGCAATATAGACGGGCATTAAACTCTGAAACATGTCACTTGCACATTCAATAAGAAACAGTAACACTAAGGCATCAGTAATCAAGCAGACTGGAGAGACCACACCACTTGAGATGCACTAGCCCAAGACCTATCATCTTACACTAGTGCTTTCCTTATAGAAATATATGTCCTGAGATAAAACCATGTGACATACAAATTCTTCCATAAAGCTGTTTCTTCATAGCCCAAATTCAGGTGGTTACATAAGTACATGAATCACATTAAGTGAGTTATTATGATGAAGTTAAGCACTAAATTTATACCAAGATAGTGTTTAAACACCCTTTATGTCTTTGTATATTTTCACGGAACATTTAACAAGACTTGAATCTTTAACCATCTATTAAAACAGAGCTGCTCTCCCATGCAAAATTTAAGCAATCAGCTTAAAGAGGAAAGATTAGTCAGTAAATGAAATATTTTTACATTGAGCACCCATGTAATTTTGAATATTATAAAAGCTGCTTATTTTCATCACAAGGGCCAGATACACAAAATCATTAAAACACTGAGTATTCTTCCTTTTCAGCATGATTCAATTATCGTATTAGAAAGAAAATGAGCAGCTGTTAGGTAAATCTGTCCTGGCACAAATCCATACAAATAGATCCTAAAATAAATAAATGAGAGGTACCTCACCCAATTCATGTCACTGAGTTTCAAATGTCACCTCCTCCGAGTAGTCACCATTAGAACCTGAGTGAGCACTCGTATTTAAAAAAAAAAGGGAAAGGGACAAGAAAAAAGAGAAAATAGAAAGAGGAAAAAGTTTAAGTAGCCTCTTTGGGGGCTGCCAGAGGAGCCCTGGCGAACTCTGTTGATTCTGAAATAAAGACTGCTAATCCAAATAGGAGGATACTGGTGAAGTATATTAAGATCTTCAACATCAGCTTCAGTTGCTGGTCTGAGTCCTGTAATCCACCCCCCGACGTCTTGTACAACTCAAAATTTACTTCTGCATTATTATTTCAGTCCATCAGTTTATGAACCGATTCAAATGAACTCTATTAAGACATCTGAGCACCAAATGAACTCTAACAGACATCTGAGCTTTTCTTGACTTGGCTCTACTTAAGAACATAGCCTGACACTTTGTAACATTGAATGAGATGACTTAAGGAATAGTGTTATCAACATTGTATTTCCTTTATTTTTCTGGTTTGAATCATAACTTGAAAAGCTTTTCAATCTAATTTTCAGAGTTAATTATTTTTGCTTCCCACAGGCACTCTGAGCAGACCACAGTGAGTACTGGAGAGATCTGGAACCAATCCAGCTGCTAAGAAAATGTTTTAATAATTTTATTTCTCTCATCTCTCCCAGTTTATAAAGGTCTGCTTCTTGCAAGACAAATTCCAAACTAAAATTTCTACTAGGACTTTCAGTATGTGGTACTCGCATGCTTTCAGAATTCACATCAGAATTTACACATTTTCCTATTTACTTTAAGCAAAAACAATCTCTCCTTGATAATACTGCACAAGTACAAGCAGAAAAGAAATTCTAAGAACTTTCTAGACCAGGTGATAATACATGCTAGCAAGCTTACAGTTCACTATAATATTAAAGTAGGATGCCACCTGCTGCTTAAAACCCTGAATTAAAAGAGAGAAACCAATTTCCTAACAATGTAAACTAATCTGAAAGCACTTATGACTAATGTTTTGTAACGCTCTTGCACCAGTCGTCAGTAAAGAGCTTCACATCTAGCTTACAAGGTAAAAATTGGAACTGTATGACTTCTAGTGCTGTAAGAGTGGTATTCTTCATAGTCAATTGAAAAAAACTGTGCACAAAAAAGGCAAGGTTTTCCTTAGGAAAAGCAGCATTACTGTGTGACATAAAATTAGCAAGCTTGTTCCCCACTTCACTGAAGTTAACAGAGGCAGTCATTGGCTTTGGATTAAATCCCTACAGAGGGCAGCTTGATGACATTTCCTTTGATATCTAAAAGTCTGATGCAGTAAAAACAAACAGTAAAACAGAAAAGAAATGAGAGATACTGCAGTCTATTAGTTCTGCCAACAAACAGAAAACTAGGCTAAAGCAAGCAAAACCAGTTTAAGAAGAGTTTCAGACTCCTCAGTTTTCCCAGTAGAATTTGTTGAGTAGCTGCTTCATAAATCAGGTCAGGAAACTGATCTAGATTCAGAGGGGTCTTCCAAAACCAGATTTCTTCTTTCCCACCTGTATAGCTTTTCTGATCCGTGTTATTTTGTAACCTTGCCAAAACCTGTGCCAGCAGGATGTGTGGGACAAGGATGCCTACCACAAGATCTCATAGGGCATGGACTTCTGAAGCCACCTTTGCTGTCAGAGATAGTGCACAGTGTAATTCCTCAAAGTTCTCCACTGCTTACAAACTTAAATAAACCAGGCATGTCTATGACCTCTTCTAATCAGGAAAGAGCCACAGTAATTGGCGAATGCTTTATATTTTTCACCCAAAAGGGAAGTGCTGAGCAGAGCACGTGAAGAGCACAGACCCCGTTTCTGCATCTGGCTCTGAATGCATTTCCTCAGTGCAGCTTTTGCATATTTACCAGAGATGATGGTTTATAAAGGAAAATAATTACCAATTTAAAAGATGAAGAATTAACTGAAGGATATTCCTAGAGTGCTCAGACCATTTTGAAGTTTCCTTGTTGCTGGCCTTAAGAGTATGTTTGTGTGTGCAGTACTTTGCCACTGCCTTCAAATAGTTATAAACCAAGTTCATGCTATATCTGTTAGTGTCAGATAACTTCTCTCATTTGAATAAAAAAGCATAACAAATATAATACATACTTAAAAAATGGCTTTAATCCACCTAGAAGTCCCATCACTCACTGCATAAAACAATTTAAGAGGTACAACAGGCTGAAATTTCTTATTCACAATGAAAAAACATAGCCAGTTTTTTTTTGGGTTATTAATCAAGTCCTTAAGAAAAGGATGCAGAGCCTTTCTGGGGGGAATCAAGACATTAAATTGCAGCCCTGCTCTAATGCCAAGTACATCCTAGCCATCCAACAGCTTGGTCCAGAGAATCTAAGCAATGAAGCAATGGCTGTTCTTCCCACATGAACGGATTCTGTATTATTAACCATATCATAAGATTCCATCTATTATATGATTTACTTACCAAGCACGCACACAAGTTCCAAAAGTGTGCAACCAGACACACAAGGATCAAGCTGTAGTGCAACATCTAAACATACTGCAGCTTGTAAATTCTCCCAGCAACTAACATGTCTTTCACTTGAAATTATTACCTCCTTAATGAGCCAAGCTATCATTAGTCTAACATCTAATCACCTTCCACACTGAATCCTCAATTCAGGATTGCTACATGGGGATAATACTACATTGGTGACTGGGAAAGGCAAAGGCAGCAAAGGTTTTGGAATGTCACCAGAAGACGAGCTGACACATGCCAAAGAGGTCCCACACTGAGTGCCAAAAAATGACTGTCACGATTTAACCCCAGACAGCAACTAGATACCCCCACAGTGGGATGAGAAAGAATCAGGAAACAGATAAAACCTGTGGGCTGAGATAAAAACAGTTAAATACTTGAAATAACTGTGGCATTTCATGGCATGGACTCAAGTTGATGCGGAGACTCAAATCCTCATTTCTTACCACCAAGCCCTTTATATCCCCTTGTTCGATACTATCTTAAACTGCATGTACGTGCAATGTTCAATCTCACTGGCCACTGTGAAACTCTCCAGGTAAATAGTCCAATCGCAATGCTCAGAACTTCTCACAACCCCCACATCCCCTGGGCTCCAACTGAGATTCCTGCCACAACTACATCAGGGCCCAAACTCCAAAAGCTTGCCTGTATAACTTTCCTGTACTTCAATGTTCCATCTCATCGTACCAGGTCTTGTCAAAGCACAAAGGCCTCAGAGCTCATTCTCTTGTGCACCTGGGGCTGGGGAAGCGCCAGGGGCATCACGGGTGGCAGTGGGGAAGGATCAGTTCTTCAGGCTCTGGCAGTGCTGCAGATGTGCCTGCACCCAGGCCGCCCGGGGGTCTGTGCACCGCTCCTTCTTCTTCGTGATCATGCTGCCAGGACAAGTCCCATCTTAAAGTACTCGGCCTGGGCAGCGGGGTGCCTGCGATAGGTCCCCAGCCATCGCCCCCTTAGCCCCCAGGGGTGCTCACATCACTCCTGGCTGGCTGCAGCTGCTGCTGGTGATACAGGCAGAGGTGATGAGGTGCCGTGGGATGGGGCGTTGGTGGTAGGTGAAGCAGCACATGGTGGGGACACCATCTGTGAGGGCAGAGACAGAGAGCCCTGGGGGGACCCCAGGCACAGGGGTTCTCGGAGGATTTGCCATCTCCCATGTCCCCTCTTGCGTGCTATTTCCTGGGTCCCAGCGTTGGCCTCCTGCTCCCAGCTCTCCCCCTGCTGATGGGGATGGAGCGCTCAGTCTGCCCCAGCAGCTCCTATAGAGCAATGGCACAATGAGCCCCAGGGAGGATGCAGCGATGCCAGGCTCACCGAAATGGGCCTCAGATGGGGAGCGGGCGGCCACGAGGGGGAGAGCGACCAGAGCGGCTGCGGAGACCTTCATGGTGCTGTGGAGCTGAGGGATCTGCGAGCAGGGTTGGAGCTGGGCTCTGCAGGGCTCTGCACAGTGCTCGGCCCTGCGGCCATGCCCTCCTTTCCTCCCCGGCCGCGGGGCCCGCGCGGGGTTTCAAGGAAAGAAAATGAGTCCACGATAGCAGGGAAATTATGTCAGAGCACGCGGATTTGCTGAGCTGGAGAAGGAAACCGCAGAAAGGGAAGCGCTGGCCATGGGGCTGCACCTTTCAGATTCTATTTGGTGCTGTGAGGTTTGGGGCACCCAACGCTGCCACTGCTGCAAGGATCCCCCACCGGCCATTAGCCAGGCTGGGGCACAAAGCTCCACGGCCAGAGCCCCAGCGGCAATCCAAAGCAGGCAAGCTCCAGGCAGAGATTTGCTTTGCAGCATCGCCATCTTGCGGGGCTCAGGAGCTGCTCTGTGGATGGACACCCCCAGGTTCTGCTGCTCTTGCTGGCAGAAGACCACTGCCAGGAGAAAGCTCCCAGCTTAGCCCCAATTTTGGCTCAAACGGCCCTTCTCACCCTGCTCCCCTGGTCACAGCAGGGATACAGAGCTTCAGACCTGGCACCCAGGCTAGGGAGATAGGTAATAAGCCCTCCATGGGCAGGGAAACAGGGGGTTCCTAACCTGGAGCAAAGAAGCACTGCCAGGGATGTGAGAGGGGACCCCTTGTAGGAGAAGGGAGCAAGAGAGTCCCACCTGTACCCCCACATCCCTTGTGCCAGGGGTGGGAACGCACCAACCCCTTTTGCCTCCTCTCAGTCCACAGCCCCTATAGCGCTTGCTGCTACAAGGATGTGTTCATCTGGCAGAAAATCCCTGCTCTCCTCATCAAGAGCTATCAGGAGACACCTTCTCACTGCTCCCACAAGATTGTGCGGCGAGTCCTACTAAGAGGAACATTTACTCTACCCTTGCTGAATGCATGGTAGTATAAACCCCAGGTTATAGAGACCTTTTTGTTTCACTTGCATATTTGCAGTTATTCAACTGTATATTTCTGGTCCTTTATAGCTTTGTTTTAGTCTGCAGTTGTTTCCTTTGTGTATAAAGTGGGAACACTTGCAAAATTGCATTGCTTACCCAGGACCAGCCTGCTTGCTGTTAAGTGGGGCTGTCCGTACGCAGTAACAGCAACAAGCTGCTCATTAAAGAATCAGCAAGACGAACACATATTCCAGTGTCCAACTTGAAACAAAACTTGGGTTATATATTACAGCTCCTAACTATTAACTTCCTATCACACATACCTACTAGCTTTTCTTAACTGAATTGTTGCAATGCTCACTAGTTAAGTAGGATTAGTGGGGTTGAGTTAAAAAACAGCTACACGCGGATTTTTATTATTACACTGCTCAGGGTGTTCTTTCAGCCAGGATGAAGACCGTCAGAATCTTTTGCCTGCTGCTCACACGTTCTTCATGTGTAAGGCTAGACTGTTGGACTTCGGGTTTCTCCTGACCCTCCGGGACCGAGATGTTCTGGTGCCGGTGTCTGGCGTGGTGCGATCCCCACCTAGAGCTCCCCGCCCGCACTGCAGCGCCGCCGCACCTCTCCCAGCTGCCACATGGGATACCTTCCCCCGGTTAATTATCTCCATTTACATGCAGATGCATATAAGCACACTTAACACGGTATACTCACTGCAACTGCTTTGCCACTATGCAAGACAAAGAGTTGAAAATTCAGTCTAATTTGGCCTTTTAAACAACCGGTTCTGGTAACTTTATCCAGCAACTTAAGTGCCAACATCTATTTACCATGGAGAAGGACAAGAGAGTCACACAAAAAGAAATAGGCTGATTTTAAGGCAGGAGTAATATGAAGAGTGACAACAGAATAACAGGAGTTCACTCTGTGTAACACAAAGCACAGGTCACCAATTAGACGTAACAGGAAGAACAATACAAATATACCAATTACTGAAGTCTGACGGCTGACAATAGCAAGGCTATAATCTACTCTTGCAATGCAACTGCAGCACAAGTGTTTGCATGAAGTAGTGCTGAGCAGGGCTTGTTCTCATCTCTACAGGATACCTTGCGAAATTGGCGATTTATATTTCAGAACATGAGAACAAGAAAAGACACTGAAATAATCAGACAAGTGGAGATCTTTCCTTTTTAGAGGTGGTTTAGAAACTTACAGGAAAAAAAAAGGCAGCTTAAACTGTGAATACCAACATGTGTAAGGTAACTGGGTGTACACCTGTGTGAGTATCAAGAGCTAAAGTTTTGAACTCTCAGGAACAAGCCTACCTCTTAAGACTGCAGCCAGCAGCTGAGTCCAGTTGGAGGTCAGTCACTAGTAGTGTGACTGATAGTGACAATACTCTAGTGTGTCACTATGGTATTGTAGCCAATAATACTTAACTTCTTAATGAATAAGTCTTCATGATATGGATGACGGGATAGATTGCACCATCAGAAATTTTCCAAATGTACAAAACTGGGAAGAGTGGCTGATACACCAGATAACTGTGTTACAGTTCAGAGGAACCTCAACATGCTGGAGAAAGAGCTGACAGGAACATCATGATGTTAAATAAGGGGAAATGGCAAGTCCTGCATGAGAGGAGAAATAACCATTACACCCTGAAGAGTGGGGGGTGAGTGCAGTCAGCTGGAGAGCAGCTCTGCAGAGAGCAGCCTTGGGGTACTGGTGGACAAGCTGACCGTGAGCCATCAACATGCCTCTGTATCCTCAGCCAACACTATGCACCAGGAATAACATTGCCAACAGGTTGAGGGGGCAATTCTGCTCACAGTGGTAAGGCCACACATGCACTGCTGATTCCAGATCTTGACTCCCAAACACAAGAAAAGAATTTACCAGAGCAAACCCAGTCTAAAACTACATTCAAGCTTGGAGTACATGACACATGATTAGAGGCCAAGAGAAATTATACTGTTCATCCTGGATAAAAGGCTTGAGAGATGGGCAATGGAGGGATGGGGAAATCCTGTCAACGTGTACAAATGCGCAGTGGGAGGGAATGCAGAAGACTTTTCTCAGTACACAATGATAGGTCAAGAGGCCATGGACACACACTAAAGACGTATGGAATTCCATCTCAGTGGAAGAAAAAAACCCTTTTTTATTTTAAGGGTGGCCAAACACTGGAACAGGTTTCCCAAAGAGGTTGTGGAGTCTCTATCATCGGAGATATTAATAATCCAACTTCACACTGTCTTAGAATAATCTGCTATCAAGTAACCTTGCTTGAGCAGGGAGCTTGGACTACATGATCTTGGGAGATCACTTCCAACTTAAATGATTCTGGGATACTTAGTAGCTGCAAATTGTACTGGCTGTGTCTAAATTTTGATGACCCCTGAACTAACAAAAAAGTGACCTCCCCATTAGGAGGCTGAATATGTCTTGTACTTCTGCACATAGATTTAGATTGGGAAAACTGGGGGTCTGGGTGCCCAGAGAGAATGTGAAAAGGGTCCTGACTGGAGGAAAGATCCTAGAAGTGAGGGAAACCCCTCTAGATCAAGGAATGGATAGAGACAAGCAGCAGGGGAATGGCCTCCGGGACCTTGGCTGGTGACTTCCAGGGCTGATAGTTGAAAGCAATTACACACCACAGAACAACAAGCCTTCATACCTGATCCACCTGAACCTCCAGCCAACTTCCCAATACGAAATAGGAGACCTAGTGAACATAACCTGGGGTGAAGGAGAAATGAGTGTCTGAGATATTAAATAGGGTAAAAACTCTAGTCTCTTTGGTCCTTAATCATTCTGCATCCACAGAAATGGTTACTGTGCTCCACGTACAAGGAGTGGCTCATGACTCCATAGCTTAATCACTACCATACAGCAAGCAATATCTGGCTGGGACCTATGAAGGTCTCTGGTATCTTGAGGTCATCTTTCCAATCTGATACCCTTACTAAAGTAGCAAATGGAGCCTTAGCACCTCCACACTGCAAGTCAAAGCATCTATGGGCAACTCCCTGTGTTAGCAGAATACATAAACACACGACACAAACCTTCATTTACTGATTATACTTCCATTTTGTCCTTACCTGAAAGGTCTCTTTACAAGTCCCCCCCTCCTCTGCAACCCACTTTTATCTTATACTTTTTGCATTATGCAGGCACACTGGCATGTATTTGCTGTTCTACTAATGACGTTTGCTCCTTTAACATTTTCAAATTCTTCTATATTTTCTCTCTTCCTAAATCGACCACATAACTATTTGTTTGGAACCTGACCTCTTCTAAGCATCATGACAAAGGTATGTCCAGAAATAAAGCCCAGCCAACTACAACTGACATGTTCGTGCAGTCAGAAATAACAGAATTATCAATTAATATCTGGCAAAATCAGAATTAAGAAAAAAATGTCATAGAACACAGATAGCAGCAGGATCCCATTTCTGTTAGCTACAGTCTCCTTTCTGTTCTCTTTTTTGTTCATCTTAATCACTTTGTTCCTTATTAGACTGTTTTCCTAGAGGCAAGAGTCTTATTTATCTAAGTACTTATGAGACATTTGGACATTCAGATTAAAATATATGTGTGCATATAAAACAAATAGCAGATGATAATGAAAACAAGAGTTAACAGGTCCCTGACTTGTGAACTAAAATTTGTGGCCTGTGTTTTCAATTTAAGATTACTGAATGCTGTAAGGAATTTTATATAAGCTTCATAGTGAGGGTTTGGGTTTTTTATTTGGCAGATGGGCAGATTAAGTTTTTTTTTCTTTAAGTGCTGATTTTTACTATTTCACTTGTTGTGGAATTTTACCTCCTGTAAAATGAATTATTAGTCTTTTGATGTCAAGACTCTTCTCAGAAGAAAGTAACTCATGATGCATACATGCAAGTCCTACCAACAAAGAAAAGGTACTATAAATGGTGCTTACACTTTAGGAGTACAAAGTACCTCTTGCAAACTCAGCTCTGCTAGCTGAGTGGTTACTATGGCTACTTCAGGATTGATTTTAAGCATGAATCCAACCTTATGCTTGAGCTCACACTCATAGCAGACAAGTTATTTGGACATAAGCCTAGTCTGTGTTGAGGGACAAATCCTGTTTCCCTGGTACCCTTTAGCACAAGTCCAAGCGTGCATTTGTCTACAGTGAAAAGCAGTGGCACAGGAACAGTATTACCTTCTCAGTTCCCCATGCCATCTCCAAAAATGCCTCATACACGAACAAAGTAGTGGAAACAAGCCCAGAAACAGTGCATGATGGAAGTAGTAGAAACAAAC